TTTTCCAAGTGTATCCTAACAGAGAGGCAGGAGGGCAAATATCATCTTCATTGAACAGGTGAGGACCCAGGACTGAAAGGTAAATCAATTCATGGACAGTAACCAGGTTACGTGTTACCGAAGGGTTAGGGGTTATAGTAATCCACCTACCCAACCCTTGGAAGCGAGAAGTATGCCAGACTCATAAATTTGGGGATTTTAACAAGCAGTATGGAGGTCAGACAGTAGTATAGCAATAAGACGAGATGTTCGGTGAGGCTGACCCACATAAGGAAGTTCTGCATTTGCATCTAGAGACTTCCTTGATTACACGGGGCCCAGGTGTGCCCATGATCTAGGGTGGCTGAAGCTGGTAACGGGTCACAGTGCCAGGTACCCTGATGGGGTGCTGTCTCATTATCTTTGTCTCTCGCTTTTTTTCCCTCTTGTTCATAAAGTAATACATAGACACAGTTTTTTCAAAAAATTCAGTATAGGACCAGCCTGTTGCATGGTGGTTAAGGCAGCTGGTTTCCACAGAGCCAATTGTGTGGTTCAAGTCCTAGACCTTGCAGCCTGAGAAATATGCCAGTCCAAAATCTCAAGAGGAGGGAAAAATGGAGAAGAGATTATGGTAGGACCATTCCCCATGGGGGCTGCTTTCTCACTTTACTGTTCTCGCCCTCTCTCCCCCTCTGGTGAGTACAAGCACCCTCTGGCAAATTATAAAAACAAAAATACAGTATGGATGTTATTACACATGGAACTTGGGGCCTTAAGGAGTGTACTATGTCAAACTCTCTCTGTAGAGGAAGGTAGAGGCTACACACCAGGTCCAACGTGTAGACCTGGAGAGTAGACCAAGGGAACAGCTTGGTCCATAGCCTTGTTCCAGGTCAGCAAGGGCTTTATGGTCTAATGGAAAAAAAATTGCAGATTTTAGGTTCTTTTTTTTTTAGAATTACCGAAACAGGATTTTTACTTCTCTACTGGAGAGAGAGCAATACCTCAAATTGATTCAACTTCAGTCAGATCATATTTTTTGCCACCGAGGCAAAGAGCCTACTACATGTGCAAAGTCACCTTGGTCTGAGATGGGACTGAGAATTTATGTTTCTTCAGCCAGTGTCTGTTCCCTATGGTAAAAACCTAAAGAAAGTTAAACAAGTTATCAGAAGAAGAACTACACATTAGGATTTCTCTTTTCTGTGTGTGTGTGGGGGGGGGCGGGTGGTGGTAGGAAGGGGTATCATGAGAAGCATCCTATCATTCTTCAGTCAGATGAAGGAGCCAGTCCCATTTGTTCCCATTCTCCTCAGGAAGACAGAATTTCAAAAGCCTGATCATTCTTTATACCAAAAGCCATAAGCACTGCGTCCAGCTATGCTTGCTGAAGTCCTCTAAGGTGTCAATTACGAACAGAACATTTATGAACATTAGACTAGTCCTAAAACAGTACTTGCACACAAATACGCTCTTTGGCAACATCGTCATGGAGGAACTGCAGAAATTCCTTGGAATGTCCTTAGAGGAAATGAGTTCTACTTAGAGTGAGGCTGAGGGAAGAGGCAGGAAGAGGAGCTCACACCAGCCAACTTTCCCCTTCCCCACCCTGTCAGAGAGCAGGTGGCATCTGCAGCCCCGTGATGACCATGAAGAGTTTGTATCTTTGCTACCTATAGAGCAAGGTGTGTCACAGAGATTCTACTTTCTTAGTCTGGTGACAGAACAAAGCTGGTTTATCACAAAAAAGCACCCAAATCTTCTCAGATGTAGGCTTAGGAGCTGTGTTCTATATTAATTTCTTAATTTTGAAATGTGACAAGTTTGGTATATCTAAATCTATCTAAATGGCTAGATAACTATAGGACACAAGGAGCAGGAAAAAAAAAATCCCCCAAAACAAAAACAAAGACCCCTAATGACAGCTCCCAAAACAAAACCCTTAATACGAGGAAGGCTACTTAAAGTTGACCAGCTATCATATCAAAAATTGAACACTTAACACACTCATCAGCCTCACCACCCTTTATTCCCCTCCCTGACTGACACCATGCAAGTCAAAGCCAAATACAGACTTGGCCCTGAGTTTAATGCAGGGTTTCTCCACCTTGGCCTTGTGGACATTTGATGTCAGATAATTCTTTGTGGTGGAGGGTGTTCTGTCCAGTGTAGGATATTGGGCAATGTCTCTGGTCTCTGCCCATTAGATGCCAGGAGTAATTCTTCCCTCCATTAAAGGTCTCCAATAAAAATGTCTCCAGATATCAGCAAATATCCCTAGGGGTAACTCAGAGGATGAGAGTTGGTAGGGTGAGGTCTCTTTCCAGCCCTGAAAGTGACAAATAGTCACACAAAGTGATCCATCTACAAGGAGGCCATAACTCCATGAAGTGGCTGCAATAACTGGCTTCCCACCATCCTGCACCCACAAAGTCCCTGTGAGGATCAAGGCAGTCACTGCCCTGAAGGATCACAGGCTCCATATGCAAAAGGACATCATGAGGGACAACGAAAACTGCAGGAGGCCATGCAGTCACAGGGACATTCCGCAGACTCCATGTCTTCAGTGAATTTGACAACATTTTGTTAAGCATAACAGAAAAATCTCATCTGAGGATGCTCCAACCCCATATTAGGAATTGCCTTCAGGCTGGGGCGTGGTGTTCTCTGAAAGGTTTGAGGCAGAATATCACCCCCTTTCAAAAAACAACAGTGACCAAAAAAAAAAAAAAGTCAGAGTGAACTAAGCCCACATGTAAATGCACCTTGTACAGCATTAGCAGGGAAAAAAATCATAAACAAGTCGAGGAGAAAGACTTTTCTAGAAATGTTTCTGCAGGATTAAAAGGGAGGAGAAAGGGAGGAGGTAAAAAAACCAAGCGTGGCATTGAGCCTAATGTGCTCATTCCACATCACTGAACAGGGGACAGCAGCCACCAGGGCTGCAACCCAAAAATGGAAACTCACGAGGGCAATCTGACCTTAAAAAGATCCAATGATAAAATGATAAAACAATGATCCAGGATTGCTAGGGTTGGAAGCAAAATCGCTCAAATCAGATAAATACAAACCCAAAATGACAACACCACAATTAAAAATGACATACCAAAACAGTGGGAAAAACCCTCTTTCCAGCAAACGATAAACAAATGGTGATACACACAAATGAGCAAAGAATATGAGCAGCCACTTCACAAAAGAGGAAAATTGCTTTGCAGAGAAACACGGGAATCCACGCCAGCTCTCAGGAGTCAAAGAATGCAGCCATACATGTAATTGGTGCAGTCTGGTGCCAGTCCTCCTCCTGGGCATGGCTTCGGGGGAGTCAGTGGGGGGGGAGGGTTGGAACAAGTTTCAGAAATCACTTTGGCAAGACACATCATAATCCATTACAATGACTACCCCTTTAACCCACTCGGTGCCATATTTTGGGATCAGGGTAACAATAAAAAACACTAAATAGCTTTGTATGTCATATGGCTCTTTTTTTTTTTTTTTGAGAGGATTTTTGCTATAGGGAGCGTTCGCTCGCCAGACAGAGAGAGAGAGAGAGAGAGAGAGAGAGAGAGACAGAGACAGAGAGACAGAAAGAGAGAAATCACCCCCCCCCGGGGGGGGATGGTCATGCAGCAATCCCTTCTCCTCCCTTCTCCTCTCAGGATCTTGGGCACATACACACACGCGCCTGGTGTGAGTTTAAGCCACCGGGTCTGGGACTCGAACCGCAGTCGACTACGTGGGAGTCCAGCGACATAGCCATTACGCTAACTGCTGGTCCCTGTCATATGGCTCTTGCAGAGTTATGATAACTGAAAAGTGGGAATAGCCTAAGTAGTCCAGGCATGTGGGAATGGTGGAATATGTAAAGGCTCAGGTAAATGAGGACTCCCAACTGGATGGAACATGGTGTAGATGTTTACAGCAACATCTAGGGAATATACCCAGAGAATAGAAAACAGCTGTAATACAATGGTAGGTAAAAAACATAAAATACGAAATATATTTACTGTATTGTTAAGAAGGTACATATTTCCTTCCAATCTTTTACATATATAATACCAAAAGGAGTCAGATTAGAACACTAAGTGATTTGGGAAGAATGAAGTGATTAAGAAAATTCTTGTTTTCTTTCTATGTGAGAGAGAATGAGCACACCCACAGGAGGAGAAAGAGAAGGGAAAAAGGGAGAGATTGCTACTTTTGACAGGGTCCTGTAATAGCGATCCTCCTGCCCCAGGCTCCCGGTTAGCTAAGATTACAGGCGTGCACTACCCACCCAGCCCATATTTAGGTTGATCCAGGATCCAAACCCAAGTCTTGCCTGTGGCCCTGACTTGTGTGGTGGCACCTTCTCACCTGTGCCACTGTGTCTGAGCCCCTCCTTCTCATTTTTAAAGCTGTATTAGGTTTTCCAAATTTTAAAAATTAAATATTATTTTTCTAATAGTTCTTTGAAGAAATACTATCATTCCAACTAATTGATGCTTTCTTTCCAAACATTCCTCAGTTGCCAGGACCTCAAGGGTAGCTGATGGGGAGCTGTCCCTGCTGTGGGCTTGCAGCCTCCTCTTTGAAATGGATATTGTCAAGATGGTTGGGGTTTATATCAAGGAAGAAAAACTCTGAGGGGCTGTTACCCCTCCATTTGCCTTAAGGTTTATTCAAATTGAGCTTGCACTGAAAAAGAATGCATCACTTCTACAGGAATGAGAGCTACCAAAAATACAACGGATTTGCCATGTTGATACTATAAATCAGGGCCAGGAAGTTTGAGGACAAAGAGGTTTTTGGTGTTCCATTTCACCTCCTTTCTCCCCCTGCTCCTTAACACAAACCACATGGCCAGGTGTTTGCTGAGACAGAGAGCACAGCCTCCAGTGCGGACATCCCTGGCTCCCCTGGCTCGGGCTCTCCTGATCGCAACTACTGCCTGCCTTTCCGGCTGTGCAGGTGGGATAGCTCTGGTGACCACAGGGCCAGAGAGCCAGAGAAACAAGGAACGGGAAGCAGACACTGACCTCGTATATAAAGTACACCTTGGCCCCCACGTATATCCCCATGCGCACCACAGCGCGGACAGCTGCATTCATACCTGCAAGAGGAAGAATAGTCGTTACTCACTGGCCTGAGGGTGTGGAAGTTCTGGCCCTGCCATTAGTTAATCTTGACCACAGGTGAACGGATAACCTCTCCTATGCCTCAATTTCCTAATACAAGAAATAGGTACTACATCTGCCCCCCACCCCCACCCCGGGATTAGGGTAAGAATTAAAATGAGAAATAGCAAATATGAAGCATGAGGGCTGGCATGTAGAAGGTTCATCTACAGTTGAGTGCTCTCCTCAAAGAGCCCAGCGCACTTCTGTTCAGAAAATCACCGCCCCAACTTGGGAAGAATGTTTAACACCTCTGCCCAATTGCAAAACAACATAGAGAACAGGTATTTTTATTGGGTCATCCGAAAAGTCACATTTTTCTATGTTGCCCTATGCGAGAATCCATCGTGACTTTTGCAGATGGCCCAATATTTATAATTAGGCAAAATCAAATAAAACAATGAAGAAAAAGACAATAGGTCTGTAGTTTGAAGAGAACTACGGTTTTACCAGTGTGGAAAAAAAATATATATATTAGGCAATGGCCTTAAATATAAAACAAATCATGCAATTTATTAGAAGAAAAAATAAACTAAACCCAACATATAAACTAAATCCATCATATAAACTATGAATTGTCATACCTAACCAAGACAAACCAAGGACATTTTCTACAATTTAAAGAAATGGTGAGCAGGATGATGCAATGTTTCATTGGGCAAGTTCATCAGACTCAGTTTTCCTTTCTCCTGAGGGCCCTTCTGTGGAAGCAGAAATCGTATTTGTGGGATGGAACTCTTGGTTGAGAACTGGGGCATTCTCAACCAGTCTCGGCCAACCAGCCAAGGTGCATCAGGAGAGAAATGAAAACAAATGAGGGCCACGTCCAGAAAGAAGCTGTTCTGCAGCCTCAGAGTGAAGAATACCTGAGCGCTCTACGGAACTGTTCACGGATACCCCAAAAGGAGAAAGGAGAAGAGATCGTGACATGGTCCTGCCCTCTGGGGGATGATTTCTCACTTTCCCTCTTTTTCTCTCTTCACACACACACACACACACACACACACACACACACACCCAGAGTTTTCAAGCTGCCAGATCTGGACTCAAACTGCACAGTGGGCCAGTGTCTTAACCATCTCGCCACCTGTGGCCCTGAACCTAGTTTATTACACAAAGAGTTTTAAATGACCAATATTCACATTCTCTTCTAATGCACAAATGGGCCCTGCTCCTTCCTGGATTTCCAGGGCCTGGGGGAGGAAGACTCAGGCTCCTTAGGGGGACTCTCCTTCAGGGTCTTGACCCTAGATACCTTCAAATCAGCCCTGGTGCCCTCCTACTCAGCTCCAGCACCTCCAGGAATTCTTCTTCCTGCACCTCCAGGAAGAATTCACGGCATCTCCCTCACCTGACCTTTTTATTCCAGATAGGATGGAACTGCCCGCTCCCTTGCACTCGCACCTGTATGAGCTTTGTTCCAGTGGCCAGGGTCTGGTGTGCCTCCACCCTTAGACTTAACCATATGGATAAAAGCAGATTTTCATGGTTCCTTCAGACTCTGTGGTTCTGGGACTTCATGGTCACTGTAGTGGATGAGGTAACCACTGAACATCTAAACTAGGCCTAACCTAAACACCAGTGGCTAAAGAAACAGGCTTAACATATGACCCTTGGCCCTTCTTGTTTCCTCTCCTCTCTGAAGGCCTAATTTCCCCGGGGGCTGAAATGATAAAAGAAAACAAATTTTTAGATTTTAGAAAATGTAAGTAGAAAAGAGACAGCAGAGGAATGAAACTGTTAAAAGTGAGACAGGATACAGACGCTGGTCCCAGGAGACTCCCACACACAGTGAAAACACTCTCCAACTCCAACCTCTGTCCCAGAAGCCATACACCTCAGGCCAGCCTCCCTGCCTGAAGGCCACCCAGGGCTCCTGGGAATCCTCTGCCTCAACTGACTAGAACTAGCAGGATTACCAGACAGCAGACATCACTCTCAGCTTGCAGCAGTCCCTCAGGGGCTTGCTCAAACACTACAAAGCCTACCCCCAGGGTTTCTCAGGTTGGGAGCAAGAGCCAGATACTTTGCATTTCTAACAAATTCCGATATGAAGGGCAACTACTCCCTCAGAAGCACAGCTCCGGCAGATAGTGTGGTAGTTAAGGAGCAGGGTGGACCACTATTTATAGTCTCGGACCTGGCAGCTTGAAAACCATGCCAGGTGCATGTGTGTACATGCTCAAAATTCTAAGAGAGAAATGGAGGAGAAAGGACTGTTGCACGGTCATCCCCCATGGGGGGTGATTTCTCTTTCCTTCTCTGTTTCTGGCTAGCATACATGCAGGGGTGGGGGGGGAGGGTAGGGAGGGAGAGGAAGAAAAAAAAAAGAAAAGGAAGCAGCAGAGCTCTAAGCCCTAGGGCTTTCATTGTTTTATAAATTAGAGTTGCCTTTTTTTCCCCCTTCAGCTCAGGATCTGTTGGCTTTTGACCTGGTAAGCTGGGAGGAATCTTCCTTCCAGCACTCTCAGCCAGAGTGCCTGAGCAGCTGGTGAATTCTCACAGGGAGCAGCTGGGGTCCTGATACCTCCCTGGAGGAAGCTGAAGCTCAGAGGGGATAAGTTGATTAGACAAAGGTAATAAAATTAATGAACGGTGGAACTGCATTTAAATCCATCTTACTTTATTATAACTTGAAAGACGTCCTAATTTCTTTGTTACAATGACCCTGTGTTAGAATTACCAAAGAGAATTTTTAAAAATATCTATGTAGTCTTACTTGTTATTTTTAAGTTTGCTATAGGGCATGTGCATTCACCAGAGGGAGAGACAGAAAGTGAGAAAGGAAGCCACCAGGCTGGGACTCGAACTGCCGTTGGCCATGTGGAAGTCCTGCAATACAACCACCACACCATCTGCTGGTCCCTACCAAAGAGAATTTTTAAGTAAAACACCTGCTGGGGCCAACTTTTTATTGAATTGCTTCAAGTGGAGCCTATTTAGCTTTTAAGCTCTTCCTTTGAATTGGTGTATAGTCAGGCCTGCACATTGCTGCCTCATGCCAGACCCTGTACGTTAAAGCCTGAGAGAGACAGGCCCCAAGAACATTCTGCCAAGGGTTAACAGGGAAAGGGAAACTGGAGGACAAAAAAGCAAAAGGAGACATAAGCCAGTTTTTGTGTTACTCACATAACTGGGGGCAAGCACAGATGCTCGCAATTCAGGATTTCACCATCCCAAGCATGGACACTGAGTGTTTTATCCTTTTGCTGAGGGCTGTCCTTGGGCAACTCAGCCACTAACCATTCAAAAGCAGGGAGTCACACAGTCTGTTACGCAATACCGAAGCTTCTGTTTATAATACAGTAGCTCAGGCATTGTTAGGCTAAGTCATTTGAGTTTTGGTACCCTTGCTTGGGAATAGAAAAAATGTTCCCAAGTATTTCTGTGGGAAAATGTAATCCTACTACCAAGCAAGAAGCTGAATATTTCAAAATAACCTGTTCATAATTTTTAAAAATCCACTCCTGGGTCCCAGTCCTCAAGGAAGGGATAATCCTGTTATGGGGACCAAAAATAAACAAACTTTGAGATAATTAGAAAGCAGCTGAGTGGGAAATATGTGATAATACTCTAAGTGCAATAGAAACAACAGATTATTGGGCCAGCAGGTGGTGTGGTGCTTAAGGGCTCTGGACTCTCATATGGCCAACCACGGTTTAAGTACCTGGACCTGGCGGCTGCTGTCTCTCTCTCTCTCTTTCTCTTCTCCTCTGGTCAAATTTAAATAAATAAATAAATAAAGTTAAATAAAAGAGAAATGACAGATTATTAAATTGGTTTTAAAGTTTATTTCTTGAGAGATACAGAGAGAGAGAGACAGAGAGACATACACACACATATAGACAGGCAGCTACCTTTGACAGGGTCTCATCATGTCAAGATTCTCCTCACAGCCCTGCAGGGGTCACAGGTATGTTGGCATTCTTGGCATGTTCGGGTGGACCACGGAACTAAACCCAGGCCTCCCGTGGGGACCCAGTACTTTTCAGCAGCATACCCCTACCTGTTCTGGGCCTACGTTATTTTCTTAACAGTATGTGTTTGAGTCTCGCTAAACTACAGTGCAGGTGAGGCAGTCACTAAGATAATGTCTTCGTTGGGGTCAGAGTCTGTCTTGTGCCTGTCACAGGACCTATCAAGAAAGTATAGAAAGCCTTATTTACTAGCTATTCTGAAATGGGCTTCTCAATTCACAAGTGCTTCCTGAGATCCTGTCCTGAGAACATATAAATTGAAAGTATTAAAAAAAAAAAAAGGGAAATACATTGATTCTAATGAAATAACTTGGGTTCATCCTTTTCTGTCCTATGTTATCAAAAAAGCAATAGATTTCTGGTGTGTGTGTGCAGCGAGGTCCTGGGATGCAAACTGACAGTATTTTCCATCTTGTTCCAGGTGCATTACCATTTTGCCACCCCTGGTCTATCTTTTACTTTGTTTAAATGTGGCAACGGGATGTTTTTAAAGTATGTATATAGTGTAGGTTACTAATATAAGACTCATTCCTATCAGGAAGAGCTACACTGCAGTCTTCAGTACTTGATGTATTGTGTACACCCTGCCACACTGATCTATACAAAGCTCCTCATTAAAGGTTGAACGCTCCATTGCAGGTACCACAATGGAATTTATTTCCTATTGATCTTTTTTTCCTGGTTTCTCTCTCTCTCTCTCTTTCTTTCTTACTATTCTAAACTCTGCTTTAAAGACTATGCCTTCATGAGGCTAAACTACTCTGGTACATAATAAGTTATTGTGCTCCACAGGCAAGGGACACATGGGAGGCCCAGGTTTGATTGCAGATCCAACCTAAAGGCTGAGCATGGCAGTGTGCACCTGGAATCCTAGTGATTCTGGAGGCTGAGACAGGAAGATTGCCAGCTCAAGGCTGCCCTGGGCAACACAGATACTGTCAAAAAAAGAAAAAAACAAA